GCGCTCCGCCGGCGAGAGGCGGGGGCGAGCGGCCCCGCGCGCGTTCCTATAGCAACGGCCAAGCGCCGGGCCTAGCGGGCGGGCGAGGCCTGCGCCGGGCACGGCCTTTCCCTCCCCGCTGCACTCGCCGGGCGCCGGTTTCTAACCGGGAGGCTGGGGACTGAGGCGGGGCCGCTGCCCCGGGGGGCCGGCGGCGGCGGGGCTGCGCTCAAGGAGCCTCCCGCTGGCTGGAGGCGGCCCGGGGCCGCCCGCCTCGTGGGCCGGGGCCGACGGCGGGTACAGGGCCACGGTCGCTCCTAACAGCGACCTGGATGCGGGGGTCGGTAGCTGGACGCCGTGGGGCATGCGCAGTACACTTTACTGTTGCACCTCTCAGAACTTTCTGCATTAAAATGCTATTTTATCTTTTTTTTTTTTTTTTTTTTTTTTATCGTTACATCACATTCCAGCCTCCTGGACACCTGTAGGGAGAAGGTCACTGTAGTTTCTGACACACAGGCAAAACCTCCCAGTACTATACAGATATCATACATCATGAGTTCTCTCTCTAGATATCCACCATAGATAACAAATGACACTGGTAGGCACATGAGAAAAAGGAGCGCGCTTCAACATCACCCCTTGTTCTGCTGGAATAAGGTTTTCAAATAGCCAAAATTTTGAACAAAATCGGCTGCAGGTAACCCGTTCTAGGTACTCTGCTGGTTGTCATTATTGTCCCTGGCTTGACGGAACGCTAACAATCTCAGTTAAACCAATCTAAGTGACGCATTCCCTGAGCTCTCTCTGAAATTAGGGCACTCCAGAAAACCTCTCCGATTTGGGCTGGCGATGATCCAGCAGCGTGCGGCATGGTGATAGCTAGAGCAAGCGAGCTGTGGTGAGCAGCTGCTCCACTGCCGACATGTCAGCTTCACCCCCCATTCACTTTCCAGGAATGTCTGGACAGCAAAGGCCAACATGACTTACATACGGATCCAAACGGCTTGCCATCTTCTGAAGATGTTCCTAATGGATCTTTAGTACCGACGATTAAACACCACGGTATTCAGCATGTGAAAATACTTGGGTGGATTTCCAGAGAGCAATCATTCGCTTAGGGGTTCCCCAGCTTGAGGTCATGACTCCCGCAGGTGTTATGGGGTCACAAAAACACTCCCTATCTCATCTTTCTGAGTAGAAGGAATGTTCTGGGTGGATGAAGAACTGATCCCAGTGCTGCTCTGGCATGGAAAAAAAAAAAAAAAAAAGTATTGTCAATCCAGAACAAATAGCAACATTTTAGGTATTTAAATACATTTATCTTCTGTCACCCACCTGAAAATCTCAGTGTAAATGAAAAGTTTTTTATGGGCAGCTGTAGCCCCACCTTACAAAAGGAAGTCCAAAGAGGCTTACAGTCCCCAGGTATATACACACCCGAATGCTGGATGTGACTGCAGCATCAGGAGCTGCAGTATGCAATTACTGTATTTGCCTTCATCAGAAGAATTTAGATAGTGATGCTGTGGCTTGCAAGCACTTTAATGAGGTTAATGAGGCTAGCGCATTCCCAAACCGTTTCTATGATCTTCTGTCACGCACTGCTGATGTGTCAGATCGTAAGACACAGGAGATATTCTGAAGGGTCACGTAGGGAGGGAGAGGCTCTGACACCAAGCACCAGCCCAGCCTACATGCTATCTGAGATGAGGCTGCCGTGGAGGCACACGCCCGTGGCTGCCGTCCAGCACCAGAGCTGCCTCCCGCTCCCAGGCCCCCACAGTCTCTTCCCAAATCCCAGGTCTAAGAGGTCAACATCTGGTAGAGGAGGGGTCCTGGCATGGGGGCTGCTGGCGAGAGACACAGTGCATGGCATCTAGAACTGCAGTTAGGCAGGCCGCAGCACTCAGGAGCAGCGCATTTTCTCACAGGTCTCAGGATATCCAGAGGTCATTTATCTTCTTTATGTGGAACTACAAACATTTTTGTGCCTTTATAATTAAGCAATAATTAACTAGGTTGGGGCAGGGGAGAGAAGACAAGAATTTAGAGTTTACCTCCTGCCTATATAAGGAAGTCATCAGAATAGCTGATCTAGAATAAGAGGGGTTTTATTCCAAAATAATTACCTTGCCTCAATAATGCACAATTAATGCCAGAACAAAAGGATTCTTTGCTTTGATAGAGCACTCACACATCAGCCTCTGCTTGACTAGCTGTTACAGAATGAAGCACGCACAGTTGTCATTCCAGTCAGTTTCCCTGTATAGACAAGCCCCAAGAACCCCAATAATTTCTGAATGCCAACCCTTCTTCTGCCATTAATTTGCTGTGTTACTGTAGGCAAGTCACTTCATTTCTGTTTTAGTATTCTCCTTTAAACAGAAGGGGAAAATGATACAGTTATTTACCTCAGAGGAGTGAGGTGAGAGTAAATTAATTAACATTTATGTTGCTCTCTGAAGGTTTGGCTTTATGAAAGGGTAAGTAGTAGGACTGTTTCTGATTAGGGCTGGCTGGAGCTACTGGAAGCACAGGGAAAATTTGACTAAGAATCTGAACCACTCTGAAGCAGAGTGTGTAATTTATTTATTGATGAACAGTGAACATGTGAAAGTTTGTATGCAGCACACCCTTCCAAGAAGCATTACAATTTGGATATACAACGCACCAGAAAAATCAGTGAAGTAATTCACATAGAGATGATCTGCTAGAGCCCAAGATCAGTGAGTTTCAAGATATGGAAGAGGTCCCTACTCTCCTTCATGTTCCCAGGAAGTCAGTATGTGTGGGGAAGGTTTTAGGGTCTTTAGAGTATTTTCTACCATTACTGGCTTGGAGGTTTTAGAGGATTCCCTTTAATATGGATCATTTGAGCAATCCAGTTTATAGCACATAAGCAGTTACACTGCTGTAAGAAAAGGCCAGTTTTGCTTGGGGGCACTGGGGTCAGGAATAAGAGGCAATTTCTTCAGCCAGCTTTGGCAGGAAAGGCAGTGTCTTGTGAACTGTAACTTCTGTGATCTTTTTTTCACTCACCAACAGGCCTTTTCTGACATGAAGTAGATATAAACACACACTGACTTCACCAGTGATAACTCTGCAAGTTGTATGGTCATCTCTGAACTCTCTAAGGAACTTCACAGGCATTTTAAAGCAATCCCCTCTGCAGCTTACAAGAATTCACCCTGAAGTAAATCTGTTCCATTTAATTAGCATGAGTAATTACTAATTGGGCATAAAGTATCTGAAGTCATTAAAACTCAAGATGAGAAATACACATTAGTTAGAAGAGGGGAAAATGTATTTCTTAATAAATGCAAATAAATGTTTCTGACTTTGGTATATTTGATTTAGTAGAAATATTGAAGAATTTATCTCAAAATGGATTTGAAAAGAAAGAAGGGATGCAGGAGCATTTGCAACAAAGCAGCAGCATGGAAGAAAGTGTGCGGGTGAGCCTGAAGGGCGATGCGAAGGGATTGTCTAGCAGAAAGTACAAAATGAAATGATCAGTGTCAAGTCTGACAGGCCAGAATTGTGACCTCTCAGCTGTACATGGACTCACAGAAGCAGCCATCCACATTGCAGTTTTCTCCTGCCAAGCCTGTCTGTCCTGCTTTGCAGTCAGTAGGCTCTTTCTCATAATTTGCAAGGATCTGCATTGTTCTTTTGCATTTCGGTGGACTGCCAAACCACTGGGATAGAGAAGAGAGGCGCAGAAACTGTACTAATGGGAGCCACTTAGTACCTAGATGGCTTAGTAAAACACACACTCAGAACGTGTCTCAAGTCTGCATTTATAGAAGTACCAATGCACGTAGACATTAACTTTATGAATCAAGGCCTTTCAATACTGAATACACAGTTAATAACCCTAACTAATTAAAAAAAAAAAAAACAACACAATATTTTATTTGGATGCACATCAGAGTACTTAAGAATATTATTCTGGTGTTACCTTTTGATTTTAATTCAGTACCTAGAACAAGGACATATCTGGTTAGACCAATGCTAATTATACATAATGCATCAAGTGGTCACGGTACTACAGGCTTAGGACAAAGTGCAAGAAGAAAGAAGGAAAATTACAAATTTTCCTTGTCTGACAAGAAGGCAATGCAAAAGGGACATTTGTGGAGAGGTGGTTCTTTTGTTTCAAATTTTCAAGTGATATGATACAATGTCAGTCATCAAATCATACTATGCAAGTAGTTTAAAACAACGTAAGCAGAATTCCAAATGTTTTTGTAGACTGTATTTAACACAAAACTCCCCTGCTATGCATTAAAAGATTAAGGGTAAAAAGTCAAACACTCAAATGCCAAATGCTATCTGCTTATACCTTTATTTCAGATTTCTTGGGCAGGGCACACACACTCTATAATACAAATTGCAATTACATGACTATACAACTTTCTCCACAGTTTCTCTGGAGCCTGGGGGATCAGAGCACAGCTCCGTACCTTCCTTTCTGCACACTGTTGTCCCCTAGCTTTGAAGACTAGCAGATGCGTTGCCACCGAGGTCAATCTAGAGCATTCATCGGAACAGATTGTTTCACGAACAGCAACAAATGCATTTTTATCCCTTTCCTGTAAGTTGGCATTATTATCCCCACTTTACAGATCAAAGAGCTAGCACCTGCTTTTCCAATACGCTTAGCAAAGACTTTCTTTTCAAGGAAGCACATCTCCCCAGGAATTCACTCATGATTGTGAACGCTTCCGCAAATCAAACCCTGGGCACTCTGGAGTGAGGCTCGCGGTTTGTGCGACGCTTCAGGGCAGCATGCACGGGCACTGCTAATGGAAGAAGCCGATCTGCCTACTCCACACCCTGCCTGGTCCTGCCCCTGCGCGGCCCCAACCTTTGTGCTGCACAGATGTCCGTGGGACTCTGCGGGCAGCTGACTCAGAGGACTGCTTTAGAAACTAACCCAGCAGGAAAAATGCCACTAGCTTGCAGCCAGATGAGTTTCCTGATCCAGTTTAGCGTGTGGCCTCATAAATGCTTGTCTTGGTGCAAGAGAGGACACGATGCAGGAGCAGCCAGCCAGGAGGGCAGGTAGGTAAGATTCCTTTGCTCAATGGTAGTGTCAGCTTACTCTGGACGAAAGTGTTTGTTGAACTTCAGCACGAGGGACACAAACACATTAGTTTTGTTCAAGGACTAGACTTACAGAGAAAGACAGCTGGAATAGAACATGGTAAGAGTGGAAAGGACACACTACCAGCTCAGCTGCCCTTTTACCTGGAGACTACTGAACTCTGTCCAACTCTTCCTTTCTTAACTGCCTATTTCCCTTGAGTCCTCCTTCTCTGTGCTTCTCTGGGACTGTTCTTCACTAATGGACTTGCACATTGAGTTCACATGTAACATCTAAACTGACATTCATCTTCATAGCTTTCCCGAGCACCTTATATCTAGAGGAGGAGGTCCATTTTATTCTGTAAATGAGCATACTATTTAAGACAAGTCAGCTGGAAGGAGGAAATGTGTTTTGGTTCTTGCTCGAAGGGTTGTTTCCATCTTTTATGAAGAGCACATTCTGGATGATATTCAGAAACAGTCCAAAGAAAGGACTGACTTTTATGTTCTTTCCCTGGCACCAGAAATTCTGTCTTCCTTTCTAGGAGATGGCAAAATTTCAGCAGAAGCCATGGAGAACATTCCCTCCAAGAACAGTTCACAACAGCATGCTTACAGCGTGTGCCTGGGAAGTGGGAGATGTAGCTGGAGATTCATCTAGTCCAGAGAGAAACAAAACCCCAATGTCCCGTATTCAGGGCAAGTTTTGTCCAGGTAGAAAAGACCAGCACCCCTTCTGCAGGCAATGTCTCAAAATGAATGAGTAATTTCTTCTTTCTACTTGCAATAAGCATTTATCTTCAGCAAAGAATTCCAGGCTCTGAATATTAAGGAACAGAGGTATCTCCTAGTCTTATCATGGACTTTAATAGTAGAGTCATTTAAAAAGAGTGGAAAATGAATATCCTTAGCAATGTCTAGTAAGTTTGAGCAGAATCCTTAAACAAACTTGAATGATTCATTCTAAAGAAAATATAAAATAAAAAGCCTTCAGATACATTTCATTTTTGTATGTCCATAATTCAAGGTGACTATTTTCTAAACCATTTTATACACAATTAGCCTGAAATATGGTTTTCTAGCTCTCAGTTTTCTGAGCAAAATATAAAATGACACAGTTATTAACCTTTGGGAAACCTCTCCTACACACAACAGAATTAAATTCTACATAAAACTGAATAGCATTGGGAGAAATTCCAAATGACTTACCACTCATTTGTTTGATGGATAGTTGGGCTAGCTATCGCTTTTTGCGGAGCTGCCAATCACTGGGAGTTCTGGGATATATTCCGAGAACTCTCTTAGAATCACAAATTGCAGTTGCAGGCTTCCGTGGCTTAAATTGTTATGGAAGAAACAATTTGCAGAGAAGGAGATGGTACTGTTACCAAGAGTGGGTAATGTTGTGATATCAGTGGCTTTGACTTTTCAGCAGAGTAAGTTGCTTCTTCTAATATGACATTTAAAGAGATGTTATCAGTTTGGAAATCTGTTCTGTCTGAGGATTTCTGTCCTGATGTTGAAACTCCAACTGAGATCACCATAACAGATAGAGAGGGGGAAATTGTTATATCAGTTTGTTTACTCTGCATTTGGCAACTCTCTGAATACTCAGTTTCATTCTTTCCATAGCAAAGGGTGTTAGTCATTCTGTTGTTCATCTGAGGATTTCATATAGCAGGAGGAAGAGGGAAAAACACTGTGATTCTTGAAATCCAAAAACTGACAAAAAGATTCTGGAGCATGGCTAAAATGTGAAATTATTTTCCACACTTTTTTGAAAGAGCTAAGCCACCTATGGTTACTATGCATATTATAAAAGTATATTTATACTCACAGAGTCCATTAAAGCAAGTTATGCTAAGTAGCTATATTATTCAGCTGCTCATGGCTCATCCTAGATTGCCATGGGTCACCAGATTTTTCTGTAGGTCTCAGGCTTTAGTCTCACCTTTTCTGTTGGGGAAAAGACCTTTTCATCTTGTGTCCACTCTGCCAACAAAAAGATGTGGGGAAGGGGGGGAAATTAGAATTTCCTCTCTCCCAATATCCATTCCATAGGGTTTCCACAAACTGGGTGACTTTGCTCCAGCCACCACCCTTGCATCCTTGGGTTCCAGTTGGCCTTCCTGCCTTCACAGGGTCTGAAAATCTTATTGCAGGATTTAGAAAGCTACCTGGAAGAGACTCATAAATTAAGATCTTGTAAAATCACTTCGTGCAGTCCAAAACTCAGTATTCACTTTCCTCTTCTCTTGAAGTCATCTTTCAGATATTTTGCCAAAGAAGCCTCCACTGAAAAAAGAGCACATTAGAACTGCAATTGCAATTCAATTTACAACTGCAATTGGAATTCAATTTAGGAGCAAGTAGGAAATTGAAGTAATCTTTAAAGGACAAGTGCAGGGATCTGTAAAGGAAAAGGGCCAGGTATATACACAGCACTTTTTTCCCTTTTGCAGTTTATATTTCATATGAAATACATGAAAGAGGAAAAATAGCAGTTTTGTCTTGTGCCATAGAATTTCTTCACCATACGAGTCTTCAACATGCTGTGAGGTTACAAATATGTGTTGCAAGCTTTTTATTAATTAGTTATTTTGTAATAACACCTATGTTAACCTCTACCTATAGCCATCAAAATTGCAGAAAATAAGGAGTTATTTAAAGTAAATCAATGAGCATGTAAGAATGATGTATTACTTTTCAGTAATATAAGTGCACCAATATAGATTTATTTTTGCTGCTAAGGAAGAAATCAGAAGGGTCCAGCCTAGCCCAGAGCTCCTCCAGGTCTGCTGAATCATGGAAGCTTTGAAAGTATTCTATGGCCTGAAAACAATATTCTCTAGAGAGATCCTCTTGCTACTTTATAAACCTTTTCTTCTCAGGGGTCGAATATGCAGTCTTGCCTATTTGTCCTTGTTCAAGTTTCACGGAAGTTTCACAAGCAGAAACAATAAATATTTTTTTGTTTTATTGTACATTGTGGTCTCAGAGTACAGAAATCTGGTTTCTTGATACAAATGTTCATTCACTGATGAATGGTTTTTAAATTAGCTCATACAATCACACAAAAATTATTTACAGGAGGAAGACCAAGTGTATTTGCGTAAACCTTAGCTAGATGTGGCTACAGAGCTTGTGGAGTATAAATACCAGGCTTTGAGAGGCTGAGATACTGACAACATTTTAAGACTATCAAATCCTGGTGGTATTAGAACCTCAGAAAAAAAATTAGACAGGAGCTTGTAAAATGGGGCCTCTGGCAATTATCTGGAGGAAGGAGCTGAGAAAAAAAATTTCCCGGAGACCTTGTTATAAGAAAAAAAATCTTCTGCAATTGTCAGGGGACTAATGAACTATATATCAGAATGCCAGCTAAAGCCCTGATGCCAAAATGTGCATTTCATTTTGGTGAAAGCAGGGAAGAAACGTATCTCCATCTTTTCCATTTTCAAAACTGGAAAGCAATGGATTTTAAGAGAAGTTTTTTAAACAGAAGAAAATGCTAGCTTTAATCTTCATTCAAGAAAAGCTATAAGCCTTACATAATGCCTTACAAAGCCTATTCAGAAATTAATGGGGCTCTTGTACCTGTATGTATATATTCCCCTCAATTAAAACTTGGAGGAAGAGTTCATGATATTCTTAGCAGTTCTTGTCTGGAGCAGCTGCCACACTTGTACTTCAGGCTGTTGTCATAACTGTAGAATTCTCTGTCCCAGTTTCTGGTGAATAATTCCTTATGTTTCTTTCTCAGGTTTCTGAAAGCCCTCCTGGGATTAAAATCTAAGACCGTATGTTTTAATGGACAATTTAGTGACATCATTGCACCCGCCCCATCTCCAGACTCACTTTACATTTCCCCTCACTTTGAATAGCCTGAAACACCTAATATTTTCAGCACTGGCTTTATAGGCGTTTTGAGTTTCAACAAAATATTATCCTTCTTTTCCAAATTTCAAGCTTTTGTGTTTTAAAAAAACCCCAGTATTTCACATGCCATTTATAGAAGAATAATATATGTTATTTCAGTTCAGTGTCCTTTAAGTCACCTAATGACACAGATGGGTCTGCTGATCTGTTTATGAGGCACATGGATTGCAGGACTTCCTGTCTTGACATGTTCCTTACAAGTTTTACAATTTTTGCCTTTTTCCCCCCACTATTTCAATTTTATATGGTTCATTTCTGTACTGGGCATAGACAAAGAGCTTCCATTCTCACCCTGCTAAGCAGATATTTCAGTTAAATTTGGAGAGGTTGCTCTTCTATGTTGTGTGGTGGAGTTAATTTATTTTCTCTAAAAAAAAAAATAACCTAGTTGAATCACAGTATCTATGACTCATTAATCTGAGACATCTGTTGATAACCCCTGAAGTCACTGTATTTCAACACTGCAACAATTCATAACCCTTGCACGAAATGAACAGGGAACATTAATGGATTAGTAACTTTTATATTCTTGTCTCCTGTGATCTCTAGACTCAATAGAAGTGTAAGTGTATTGTAAAAATGAGGTAAGCATTAGTTGTCTAGACATCCTGTATGTGGCCATTCTCTGTGGTAGTTGCCTAGGTTAGTCATTAGAAAAGCTTTACTTAAACAGATTAAAGTTCCTTGTAAGTGGTGATGTTGGCAATGCCCTCCAAATTGAAGGCGATGGTTATAAATGCAGCAGGGCATTTTTCCTAGTTTGTATTTATTGCCTAAATACTTAAATGGCCTTTACTGCAATTGCACTTTCAAAATTACAAGAAATTAGTTTTGTGTACAAATACTTTTTGTCCCCTTTTCTAATTTGCTTTCCCTTCTTTATTTCTTATCTTTATGTCCTCTTCATTATAATTTATTGACAAATAGCATAAAAATTCATTATTTTTCTACTGAGTCACTACTTGAAAATTTGCATATATTAATAATTTTAAGCCTCAATGAAACAAATATAACAATTACGTAAGGAACAAATAACA